CAGCTGCATGCCTGGGACGGACGCGCGGTGGGTCATCGAGCCCTTATCTCAGCCTGGGGGATAAAACCATAGATGGTCTAAGGCTCGGGGCAGGTGCTGGCTTGCTTCCCTTGCTGCACGGCTCCATGGGTCCACGTCCGTCCTGGCCTGGCCTTGCCCATGCTCAGTGGCCCTAAGCTGCTCTCATCCTGCCTCGTGATGCTACCAGAGGCCAGTGACGTGCAGCGACTGGGCTCGGATGGAAAACGTGTGCGGGGGTGAGGACCGGGAAGGGACCCAGCGCCTCTGGATGGTCGCTGAGGCTGAGACACGCCGGGTGCGAGACAGCGGCACATTCTGTCCCCAGGCGGCTCTCAGGGGAGCCTGCCGGCCTTTCCAGGGGCAGTAAACATCAGCTGGAGACCCTGCCACGGGCCCGGCAGCATGGAGAGCCAGGAGCACAGCACGCTGTGGGAGGGGGCAGGCGCACAGATCATGACAAAGCCCGTGCACCTGTCACCCGCTGCACAGAAAGTTCCTGCAGTAGCAAAGCCAACATCAGGAGCACCTCCTCCGTCTTCATTTCTTAAGGGAAGAACTAGCTACTAGGATCTGGATATAATCTAGGACTGGCTGGTGGGTGGGTGGAAGATCTAGCCAAGGGGACATGAACAGGTCTGCACAGGTGCAAAGGAAACCTCGAACACATGCAGCTGACGGAGGCAGCGCTGCCTGCCTGAGTTAACAGAGAGCCTGAAGCGATCCCTCGGAGACGGGGGTGACTTACTCCTTCCAGGTGGCCTCCAGTCCCACCTCTCCCACTGCCGTCCAGTGTGACCTTGGCTCAGCCCCAGCCTCTGGCCGTGCCTCAGTTTCCCCACTTCAAACAACACTCACACCTGCTTCCTCTGGGGGATAAAGGCCAGTATTAAAACACCCCCTGCAATGGCGTTTTCCAATGCTCCCTCTCACAAACCAACAGGCCATCACCTATTCCCGGCACGTCCAAGCCCTCGTCATCTCCCGGACAGCCCTCGCCCCGGCAATCTCTCCCGACACCTTCCTTTTTTTGGGAAGTCGCCCGCCCTCTGCCAGGCGCAGCCAGGACCAAGTGGGAGCTACATTAT